GAAGTAGGAAGGCGGATCAAGTAGATTGGGTCCAGGCCCCCCCAGGGAATAACAAAGCGCAGCGAAAGCGTGCCGATTCTTGAAGTAGGAAGGCGCTTGAACTAGTCCAAAAATACCTACTTTCAACGACCGGCGTGTACTGTATTCCTTAACCAACGCCCCCGCCGTAGGGGGGCACATGCGAGCCCTACCCCTACCCCCCACGATTTCTGAGGGGGAGGGTCCTTCTCAGAGATCGTGGGGGGCAGGGGTAGGGTTCGCATGTGGCCCCCTATGGGAGTCTCTGTGACCTCCGCGGCCCTATCAGGAACGTGACTTCGACAGGACTTCGTCCAGACTTCGACCACCCCTCCTCGCCCGTTCGTCAATATTTCGTCCAACTGTCGACCAAGCCCAACGAAATCCGGACGAACCCTCCCAAAACGCAGTGAATTTTGGGACCATCTGAGTGCGGGTCCCACGCAGGACCACACAGCCGAGGGGGTCAGAGGAAGACACTCTAGGGCCCAGCAAACTGGCGACAATTGCCACTTGCCGCGGGCGAGAAACACGTCCGAATCTGCAGCCTCGCGGGACGGGCAGAGGGGCCACGACTCCGCGGATACGGGGCGTTTCTGTCGCGGATGCCACGCGCGGAACGTATCCGGCGCGGATACGGATATGCTCGATGCACGTACTTTTGGGGAGACCTACGGTTGTTTTGAACAGGGCTACGGCAATCCTGTGTCCAGGATCTGTCAACGATCGGTGTTGGTGTATAGCTGGGGTCCTTCGAAAGTTGCGCACCCAGCGGCACCCAGGAAGGGCGAAAGGAGGGGAGGCGACGAAAACGGCAGGGGGCGGGGGATGACAGAGCGCAACAACGCCCTGTTCAAAACAGGGGCGCGCCGTCGCGGTCAGGATTCCGGGGCGCCATCCCGCGGTTACGCGGTAGAACGGATACGCTCCGCGCGGGGCCTCTTCGAGAAACCGCTCCGTATCCGCAGAATCGTGGCCCAGGTGCACGGCCCGCGAGGCTGCGTGTCGCCACACCGATGCGCCGCAGTGGGGCCAACGGAGTGGCGTCACGCGCAAACCCAATGAAATGTCGACCATCTGAGAACTGCCAAAATTGTGATTTCCCAAACCATTATGTGGTGTTGGGCCCTCGCTTTAAGCAGACAATCCCCGCGTTTCCTCTTCTCCTCTCCTCCTCCCTTTTTGTTCCTCCTCCTCCCCCCATCCCACCCCTGCCGTCGCCCTCCGCGTGTCAGTGCTTCACCACGTCACTCACGTCCGAGGGCCCTGTAGGGAACTCCGCCGGGTCCACATGCGGTTCCCTGCCAATCATATGTGAATTTGAGGAGGAGGAGGAGTAGGAGGAGGAGGAGGAGGAGGAGGAGGAGGAGGAGGAGGAGGACGAGGAGGAGGAGGAGGAGGAGGATATGGGGGTTGAACACACCGCTCGCGCGTTTCGTGGCCCCTCGGGGAACTCCTCTGACGGCCCCAGTGGTAGGGAGTCCCCGCGCGGCTCCTCCCCGCTCACCGCATCCACGTGCCGGCGCACCCTGCGCCCGCCGCGCGTCCACACTGACACCCCTCACACGCTGCGCGGCCCCATGGGGAACTTCACCGAAGGCGCCACTGGGTCCACCTGCGGCCTCCTCGCACACCGCATGTATCTTTCGGCACGCCCCTCACGCGCGGTGTGGCCCCGAAGGGAGATCCACGGAAGGCGCCAGTGGTACGGCCCCCATGCGGTTCCCCGCTCGCCGCATGCCCATCTCGGCACACCCCTCGATCGAGTCGTGGCCCCATGAGAGCTCAATCGGGGGCGCACCTTCCACGCGCTCCGTAGCCTCATGAGCTCGCGGGGAGTCCTCTGTGCTTCGCCCCCAGGAGCTGCCTGTTGCCCGCGCGCTCTGCCCACCGCTTCGCCCGGTGTCAATCACCCGTGTTTTTGGCTTTGTGCAGCGGACAACCCGCGCGCTTCGCCGATCCACAGAAGGCCAAAATGAAAAAGTCCGGCTCGAGGAGCTCCACAGCAGGCACCGGTGGTGACGTGCGCGCGCGTTTCCCCCGCCCATCGCAGTGCTTCGTGGCCCCAGAGACCCACCGAAGGCCCCAGTGGTGACGTTCACACGCGTCTCCACCACGCAGCGCAGCGTTTCCTGGCACCCTGGGGAGCTCCACCGAAGGCCCCAGTTACCGCGGCCGCACTCCTCCAGCCAGCACGGCGGTTCGTGACCCCATCTGGAGCTCCACTGAAGGCACCAGCGGCGACGTGCGCATGCGTCTCCCCCACCCAGCACAGCGCTTCGTGGCCCCATAGGGAACTCCACATAAGGGCCCAGTGTCGACGTTCGCATGCGCCTCCCCCGCAAACCACCGTGCGTCGTGGCCACATAGGGAGCGTCACCGGAGGCCCTGGTGACAGCGGCCGCATGCGCCTCCCACACCCAGCTCCATGCTTCGTGGCCCTTTTGGGGACTTCACAGAAGGCCCCAGTGGCCGAGGCCGCAGGCGTCTCCCCCAGCTGGCACAGCGCTCCGTGGCCCCATAGAGAGCTCCACTGGACGCTCCACTGGCCGCGGCCGCATGCGTCCCCACCCCCCGCCCAGCGCAAGCTTCGCGGCCCCCTAGGGCCTCCAACGGAGGCCCCGGTGGCCGCGGCCGCAGGCGTCTCCCGCCTAGTACGGCGCACCCCTCGCGCGCTTCGAGGCCCCACAGGGAGCTCCACCGAGAGCGGTTCCCACGACGGGGTACTCACCACTGTAGATGGTTGGGTCCTTCGCCACGCGCATGTACAAACGAAGGTGCGCGCGCATACTACTGTTTTGCATGGATGAGGGGGGAGGGGCGATCATGGCCTGCCTCGGACGGTGGGGATGTGTGTTTAAGATCTACAGTGGGGCAGAATCATGTGTGAAGTGCACTCTCCCAAGGGGCGTCGATAGACCCGAGAGAGGGGGTATATACTGGCGTACTCCCAGCTATCATGTGGCGCTGGAGCCTCGTTTAAAAGAGGATACGCCCCACGTCGCGTCCTCTCCTCTCGTCTCCTCTCCTCTCCTCTCCTCTCCTCTCCTCTTCCCATCCTCTCTCCTGACTGTGCCCTGGCAAACCCCCCTGCCACGCTTTAAGCCCCCAACGGAGCTCCACAGAAAGCAAAAATGACAAAGTCAGCATGCAGTAGCGGGTTCATTTTGCTCGCCCCTGCGCCGTTCAAGCCCCATAGGAGCCCCACAAGAAGCCAACATCCAAAGTGAACCAGTCGGCATGCCATCGCGGGCACAGTTTGGCTCGCACCTGCGACGCTTGTCAAGCCCCACAGCAGCTCCACATATAACCAGCATGAAAAAAACGCATGCAGTCGCGGGCTCGTGTCGCTCGCCCCTACGCCTTTCAAGCCCCAGAAGCACCTCCCACACAGGGCCGAAATGAAGTAACGCATGCAGTCGTGGGCTCGTTCGCCCTGGCCACGCTCTTCAAGCCCCCAAATGAACTCCACAAGAAGCCCAACATGAAACAGTCCGCATGCAGTCGTGGGCTCATCTCGCTCGCCCCTGCCAGGACTTTCAAGCCCCATAGGAACTCCACAAGAAAGCCAACACGAAACAGTCCGCTTGCAGTCGTGGGCTCATTTCGCTCGCCCCTGGCCACGATTTTCAAGACCCATAGGAACTCCACAAGAAGGCCAACCTGAAACAGTGCGCATGGAGTCGTGGGCCCATTCCGCTGGCCCCTGCCCCGCTTTTCAAGCCCCACAGTAGCTCCACAAGAAGGCTACACTGAAAAACAAAACATAAAAAAAACAACTTCCTTTCTCAAAGCGGGGCAGGGGCAACCGAAGCAATGCCAAGCAAATCATGGTTATCCCTTCGCAAGACAATGCAAAGCCAGGAGTAGCAATGCGAAGCCATGCAAACCAGTGCAAAGGAATGCAATAAAAGGATGCAACCCAATGTCATACAATGCAAAGTAACACACCGCAGCACAGAGTGACGCAACGCAATGCAAAGCATTGCATAGCAGTGCAAAGCAATGCCATGCAATGCAAATCACTGCAATGCAATGCAAATCATATCATCAAACCAATCTGGAGCAATGAACAGCAATGCAAAGCAATGCAAAGCAGTGAAACACAGTGCGAAACAATACAACGCAATGCTAAAACATGCAACGCAAATCAATTGAAAGCAGGGCAAACCAACGCAAAGTAATGCAAACCAATGTAAATCAACGCAATGCATCGCACGTAAAACAACGCAAACCAATGGAAAGCAATGCAAAGTAACGCAAGTAAATGCACAGTAACGCAAGGCGGCGACGGGGCGGCGACGCGACAACAAGGCGGCGGACACAGTACTGGTGTCCAGACGACGGGCGGCGACGAGGCATCGACGGGGCGGCGACGGCGACAACATCAAGGCGGACCCAGCACTGAAGCCCGTGTCTTTAGAGAAGAAATCCGCCGATCCGGCGTGTGAGTTAAAAAGAGCCTGAGCTTCCGCTCAGCTCTGCTGAGGGGTGGCCAAGGTGGCTCTGCCCGAGATGGGGGGGGGGGAAGGGACTGGCCGTGCAGTACATTGCTTCCACCTCGGGAACCCATTTTGCAGTGGATTGCCGGAATACGTGGGGGAAGATCCGAAGGGGCGACCATCCCATGGTCATAGGGCTGAATGCCAATAAAGTCCATGTGGCGTGAGAGTCCCCAAAGACGCCTCAGGCCCCCCCCCCCAAATCTAGCGGGGACCTCCTGTTTGGGGAACTTATCGGAGGTCCTCTCAGAGTACTTCGATCGGCGCCCGCAGCGCCAGTGGGCCCATCGCCGACCCAAGAACTCCGCGCGGACCCGCGACAAAAGATGCTCATGTGTATAGTTATTCGAAAGTGACCTCCATCTCCTTCCTCCTCCTTCTCCTCCGCCTTCCTCCTCCTCCTCCTCCGCCTTCCTCCTCCTCCTCCTCCTCCTTCCTCCTCCTCCTCCTCCTCCTCCTCCTCCTCCCAGGGCGCTCCACTCGAGGGTGTCCAAGCACTCCGCAACGGCCCCGAGCACCTCGTCGGGGGACCTCAGGCCGTCCACCTCGCGGGGCGCCCTGTCCTCCTCCTCCTCCTCCTCCTCCTCCTCCTCCTCGAGGGGCTCACGTGCATCCGCGCCCCGCATTTTCGGTGTGCATCCGCGAACTGCATGTCTCTGCAAGCGGCCGCCAGCTTCCAATCCAGCCATGTGCTGAGACAGGTAAAGAATCGCCTCAGCATGACCCCGCTGAGCGCATCGCGACGGTGTCGTCACCTCGCCTCCGGAGGAAAAACGGTTACAATGCGTGTACGGGGAGGGGGGGGTTCATGGCTTCGACTCGAGCGCAAACTCAACAGAAGCTCGTCTGCAATTCATGCCGATGTAGCCCGTCTGCGCAGCATGGGGCTCGCGTCCCACGGCACCAAGAGGAAACCAAACAGTGTGTGTGTGTGTGTGTACGGGGCATGGGTCCCTCCGCGTACGTGCTCCGCGTGCCTGGGCCGGTGTGCCCACGAGACTTCCATCAGGCAGGAGAGGTTCCTGGAGTTGAACGGCCCAGAAGCGGTGAATAGAGGGCAAAAACTCCCCCCACACACACACCACGACAAGCGAGGCCGCTAAGTAAACGCACGCAATGACGAAATCGAACAGGGTAGTGCTGTTTAGTAAACGCCCAGGGCCGTTTAGCAAACGCCAATCATCGGGTCCGGGTGGCTCTCCTTCCCTCGATTGCAGGCCCGAGGCGACCGAAGCGGGCCAAAGGCAACGCGATCTCCGTCTCTAGCCGACGGGCCAGTGTCTCGAGAAGTCCCACGCCACTTGCAAGCTATCTTGGCGTTCAGGAGCGCTCCTGGGACAACTCCAGCGTGGGAGACGCCGTTCGGGCGCGAGCGCGTGGTCCGACTCGCCCATCACGCAGAAGCGGCAGGCTGGAAGCTCTGTATACTGCCGGTTCCAGAGCGAGGGTTTTACCCTACCGCTGCAAGCGCTCTCCCCCTGTTCCTCGCCTGGATATCCCTCCTCTGTCATCTTTTTACCTCCCTCTCCCCTCATCGATGGCAGCAACAGAGATGAAGTCGAATGGGCACATCTTCATTTCAGATGAAGGCTGCGATCTAAAATCGGCACGGCGAACGATGTGGCGCGCCAGCCTGTAGTAAGACCGCCCTAACACTCGTTCCTTCCCTCCCTCCTGTCATTGTCCCATGCGGGACGGTCACCTTGTAGACAGGACCCTGCCAGAAGTCCAAGATTGCCCTCATGTGAGCGTTGAAAACATCGAGCCGTGTCCGCACCGCTTCAGGCGCGTCGTCTCGTCGGAGCACCAAACGGTCCTCAGCGCTGCACGTCGATAATTAGCACAATATCCAACGCCATTGGGCAAACTTTGCAACAATGATCATGGATCACCACCATGACAACAAAAGAGCGAAACAACACACCTGGGCAATCCTCCCTCATACCAATCATGCAAATCCCGCCAGCCCTCTGGGCGTTGGTGGTCTAGAGCGTTTCCTCTTCTACCTCCCTTCTTCCCTTTCGGGGACGGGTTTACCACTGTTCCCTATTAATGAACACCCCCTCCCCCAGGCGACTGGTAGCCAACCCAAAACCATTAGGGCCCCCCACCATCCATTGTAAAAACCAAACAAACACACACTCTGCCTCCAAATCCGTAGCATGCGCAGCCAACCCGATGTGGCCTCCCCCCGCCATCCCTGTCAAGAAGCAATACAGAGTAAGTACACTTGGCGGCGGCGGCGGCCGCTGCGGCGGCTGCGGCGGCGGCGGCGGCGGTGGCGGCGGCGGCGGCCAGGGCGGCGGCGGCAGCGGCGGCAGCGGCGGCTGCGCGGCGGCGGCGGTGGCGGCGGCGGCGGTGGCGGTGGCGGCAGCGGCTGCGGCGGCAGCGGCTGCGGCGGCGGCGATTTGGCAGCGGGGGCGGCGGCGGCGTCGGCGGCGGCGGCGGCGGCGGGCGGCGCGGCGGCGGCGGCGACGGCGGCGGCGGCGGCGGCGGCGCGGCGGCGGCGGGCAGCGGCGGCGGCGGCGGCGGCGGCGCCTGCGGCGGCGGCGGCTGCGGCGGCGGAGTCGGCTGCGGCGACGGCGGATTGGCCCCCAGTAGCTGCCCATCCAAAGACGACTGCTGAATATGCTGAGGCTCGGGCCAGACTCGGGTGCTACGTATGTGTTGGGAGGGCGGGTGGGAGTGAGCGAGACGGCTTGCGGGCGGGGAGGGAGTCTTGACCCCTCCCCCTACCCCCTCCCCTGGACCTGGACGGGGCGCCCCGCGAGCGGTCAGGGCGTCCAAGACGGCCTCGGCGGGGAAGCCAAAATCATTGGTTTCACTGTGGTTTTGGCATCATTTTGGCCTCTTGGGGGGGCGGCGCAAATTAAGGGAACCCCCTTCTTTGATCGATGTCCTCCAAGATGGCCCCAAGAAGCGCCCCGGAGGCCCCAAGAGGACCCAAGATGACCCCAAGATGGCCTCAAGAGGTCTCAAAGAGGCCCCCAAGAGGACCCCAAGCGGCCCAAAGAGGCCCCCCCGAGGCACCCAAGACGCACGGGAGTTCCCCAGGATCGCCAAGAGACCCCCAAGACGTCCCAAGAGGCCTCCAAGAAGCGCCCAAGAGAGATCCTAAGAGGCTCCGGAGAGGCATCCATGAGACCTCTGGCCCTATTGCTTGCCCTCCTCCTCCTGCTCTTTCCTCCTCCTACTCCTTCTCTTCCTCCTTCTCCTCCTCCTCCTCCTCCTCCTCATCCTCATCCTCATCCTCATCCTCATCCTCATCCTCATCCTCATCCTCATCCTCATCCTCATCCTCATCCTCATCCTCATCATCATCATCATCATCATCATCATCATCATCATCATCATCATCATCATCATCATCATCATCGTCATCGTCATCGTCATCGTCATCGCCATCGCCATCGTCATCGTCATCGTTATCATCATCATCATCATCATCATCATCATCATCATCATCATCATCATCATCATCATCATCATCATCATCATATTCATTGTCCTTCTTCCCACTCCCTCATCCATCCATCCAGCCTTCTCCTTCTCCTCCTCCCTCCTTCGCACGGTTCGGCCGTCCCCGTCTTTGCTCCCATACTTCCCTGATCACATGAACTCGCCTGGACATTGTTTCTGGATGGGCTGGTGGGGATACTTTTTAGTCAGCAGCCGCAGGCGAGAGCGCAAACGGCGAGTCGAGTCAGAGCGGGCCGCGCAAAGACGAATTACCTAAAGCCGGCGGAGCCTCAGGCATCACCACGGCGGACAGGGCCGGAGGGTGGGGAGGTGCAGGCTGCGGCTGCCCGGGGGCTGTGCTGGTGGGGGTACGCGAAGCGTTTGGAATTCCAAATCGTCCTCGCCCGTGCCCTGATTCATGGGCTGGAATATATTGCATGTTTGCGGTTTCAGAAAAACGTTCCGGGCCAATGCGAGGATGAGACGTTTCGGAATGACCGCCATGCCACGCTTCTGGCACCAGACAGAAAGCTGGTTGCAAAATCCGCCGATCCCTTGGGGTCAGGGCGTGTGAGATGCTTCCCCCTCCCCAAAACCCTCCCCCGGGGGCCCAGTCCGGCCGGTTTGGACGGGGGGCGGGGGGTGGGGGGCAAAGATGCCGCCCGCGCAACCCAACGCACAAGAGGGAGATAAATCAACATGCAGGAGGCTTGAGGATGGATAGGCGAGTAGGCAGGAGGAGGTTGCGCGACCAAGAGGTTGCGCGACCACTGCTCGAATCAAAGCCGGGACCCAACACTGGGGGCTGATAGCCCCTGGGCGGGGGGCGGGAAATTCATCTTTCTTTCGAACAAGGAATGAACCAAACGGGCAACGGCTTGACAACACCACTGCTCGAACAACCATCCCACCCCCCCCTCACGCAAAATGATCCGAACAATCCACACAGCCGCGATTGGGGCGACTGTCTGGCACTGGCCGGCGCATCTCCGCGGCCGCGCCGGCGCGCGCACGCTCGCTCGCGGAGCGGCCAGCTGGCTGAGCACAGCTGAGGCGGCCGCGATGGCGCCTACGGGTAGGCACTTCCCAACGAGTCTCAGAGGCCACACTGGCCACAGCGGCAGGGATGGTGATAGTAACGGAGGTATTGGCGTTTTGGCGGCGATGACGGCAAATCCACTGGCGGTGCCGATGCTGGCGACGACGGTGGCGGTGGTTTCCATGCGCCGGTAATGAAAGTGACCAACCGGTGATAGCCATAATGGCGGCGAGTGAAGATGACGATGACGTCGGTGATGCGCTGGCGCTGAGGGGGGTGATGGTGGGGAAGTGCGCCCGCGTGCAACATACAAGAACTGTGGCAGACCTTTCTCATATGTCTGTTGAAGAGATGAACTTCGAGATGCGCCGAAACCAACATGTTCAGGCGGGCCTCGACATGCGCGAGTGGTGGAGCGCGCGTGTGGCCAGCATGGTATCACTTGGTACCGAATCGTGCACGGGGGGCATGCTCGGTCAACGCAGATGCACCGCGCGGTGAGATGATGATGCGGGCTCGGGACGATGAATGGTTCGACTCATGTGGTTGCCCTATGGTTCCAGCATGTGCGGGCGAGCAGAACATCTGCAAGACTTCTACTGACATGCCCATGGGCTGAACTGCGTACCCAACTCATGTGTTTGGTATGGTTTCGGCATGTGCGCACGTGGACCTCGTGGTGTTGTTGACAACGGGTTGTGGAAAAGCAGGTCTTTGAAATAAACGACTGCGTGCGCATGGCATTCGACAGGGGTGAGGGGCGTGTCGAAAGATCGAGTCCACATGGATAAGTGGACGACGAGGAAGAACCATGTATAAACTGAGCTATCCAAGAAAAGAGGCGGCGGTTGAGTCCAGCTGGAGAGGGGGGGGTAGAGTCTAGCCTGCTCTTCTCTCGACACGAGGCTGACCCCGCGTGGGCGCCTGCCGGAACCCTCGGCGGACCCCGGCCCGCGCACGGGGCGCACACGAGACGCCCACGGGCGCCCACCGGGCAGCGCGCACCCTCGGCGGACCCCGGCCGGGCGCACGGGACGCACACGGGGCGCGCACGGCCGCCCAGCCCGGCGGAGCCTCGGCGGCCCCGGGGCGCACTCCAGGCGGCCACGGTCAGCCCCAGGACAGAAGATCCTCCTTGAGCGACATGAGACCCTCCGCCGACCAAAGCACCCCAAGCCACACGGTCCCTCGAGGGGTGTCCTCCCCCAGGAGGCGGCACAGGAAAGTCCAACAAGCACGCAGAACCTTACGGAACCCTCACCGAGCCGACCTCGACCTCAGACCTCGGCCCAGCTGTACGGGCATGCGCCAGGCGAGACCTCGGCGGACCCAGCCAGCGCAGGGGGGCGCACACGCGGCGAACACCAGGTGAGCAGAACCTCGGCGGACTTCACCTGCTCACGGGTGCCGCAGATGCGCCCGCGGCCGCCCACCCGGAGACGCCCTGGAGGACGCATCCGATTACCAATCAGCTTACCAGGAGCAGTGAGGGCGCACAGGTGGAAGCACTGGCTGGGCAAAATCACGTGGCCCGGATCCGCTCTCCGGGGGCCACGGCCTCTCGTGACTCACGCCGGGTCCGCGCGCTCAGGGCCAGGCTCCACTGCATAGCGCACTGGGTCGGTGCTCCCAAGGGCCACGACACCTTATACGTCACGCCAAGACCGAACTTCAAGAGACGCGCCCCCAGGGCCACGATGCATTGCAACTTACGCTGGATGCGTGTCCCCAGGGCCACGATCCACGCTCGTAGGCGGCAATCCCTTGTAGCAGTCCCCTGAAAGACCCCAAGTGGCTGCTGTGCTGCCACAGAGCCCGAAAGAGGGCCACATACTACTCCAAGAGCGCCCCGTGTAGACTCCAGAAGGCACCAGTAGGCTCCAAAAGACCAAGCGGGCAGTAATACGGCGCATAGACTTGTCTGAGAAAGCCAGAGGTGGAGCCCCCAGGGATCAAAGAAGGTTCACCAAGAGAGGGGAGGCCCCCCTGGGCAGCCAGGAGGGATAGAAACAGCACGAGTGGGAGGATGACGGTGACGATGGCGACGAGGGATCCCAAGCTTCTCGGGGCAGGGAGGGGCGGCGGCAGAGGCCGAAGGCCATGGAAGAGGAGCGCGGCAGCACCACCGGGCAGGCAGAACCGAAACGACGCACATGCAGAGGCAGGCGCAGCGGAACTCCACGAGCAACGAACTGCAGGCGCCACAGCAGGACAAGCCGACACGCACAGGGACAGAGGAAGGCAGCAAGGCAAAGCAAGGAGGACCAGCGCAGACGGCCGAGGCCGCCCTGGGACCGTGCCTGCCACCTCGCCGATAAGGAATCGGGAAGCAAAGGGGCCTCCTCGCGGCTCGTTGCGCAAATGCTGCTCGAGGCTATAAATCTCTTAGGAGGCAACTGCTGGGAGGCGCTTTCGTCGGGAAGACTAAAGAGGATTAAGCCCCATTGGGGGGATGTTACGCCAGAGTAGGCCTCGGATTAAGCCAGATTGAGCGGGATTAAGCGGGATTGAACCGGATGAAGCGGGATTAAGCAGGATCAGGCCGGATTTCGGACCGGGGGAAAATCAGAATTTGACCTCCCAGGATTTGCATCCGAACACCTCCTGCCACCATCTTCGCGAAGTTGCACGAAATGGCACGATGAGGAAGGACGATGAATAATGCTGTTCAGGCAACTCTCAAGATACCACAGTCGAAAAAAAGGGAAACCAGCACTCATTCGAGATGGATCGTACACAGTCCTCCAGTGGCGGCGCCCGTTTAGGCGTCCGTCAATCAGGCCAGAGGGGCGGATAGGGAGATATTCAACTGAAGCACGCCTTGCATAGAGAGTTGGCGTCTCGAGGGCTTCGCCGCATCTGGCCCGCCCTGCCAACGACCACAGTGAGAGCCCACCCCTACAACAAGTGGGTGCGAACAACAATCAAGAAATTATGCAAAACCTACTCCGTTTCTTTCTCTCCACATACCCGTACCACACGGCTGTGGCTTTGGAGAGCTCCATCTTCGAGATTTCCTCACCATTTGTCAAATTGGCCGCCGCCATGACCATGTCCAGCTCCTGCTGCTTCACCTCTTTGCCACCGTTCAGGTCCTTGAGATACTCGTTGACCTCATCCCTAGAGAGAGCGCCCGACTCGTTCACGTCGTACTTCCTGAGCTTCTCGTCCCACTCTTGTCTGTGCTGGGTGTAGGTCATCCAGGCGCTGAGGGCCGCCCCCAGCTCACCAGCGTCTATGCAGCCGTCTCCTTGTCGGTCCGCGCTCCTCACGACGTAGTCCACCTCCTCCTCCGTGGGCTGGGTGCCCGCCGGTGTGGAGCTGTCGATGGCGGTCAACAGCTCCATCAGCTGTTCCTTCTCCAGCTTATTGGTGTGGTTCGTGTCGTAAAGCTTGATGAGCTTGTTCATGCGCACCTTGTGCTCGTACTCCTTCCACGCCTGGTCCTGCCGCTTCCGGTCCGCATCGCTCATCGGCGTCAGCGGGCACAAGTCTCTCCCGCCCATCTGGCACCGAGGACGAGTGGCCACCCCGAGGGCCCAGGGGTCCGCACAGACCCCCGAAGGTGAAGAAAATCGGCAGCGACCGATCTCGTGGCCCGCGACCAGAAATAAATCTCACGTCCACTGGTCAGGGTTCGAAGTTCGGAGTACGAGGGGGTCTGGGTCCATGGAGCATGTCTTTTCGTAAACTTCGGCAAGTTTACCTGCATGGACGGGGGGGGCCTGAACCTTAAGCAAGGCGCAAGCGACTTGCACGTGCGAAAATCATGCAAGTCGAAAGGCACTTGCACGCTGAATTCGTTTGAAGAGGGGCGACGGGGTTTGGGGGGGTGGCGAACGCCATGCAACTCAGCTTGCCTAAATCTAAAGAGACAAGCTCACCCCCTTGGACTACCCCTTGGGCAACCTCGCAAGGATCTGGACAACTCCCCCGGACAACCCCCTTGGAAAAGCCTCCCCAGGATGTCTTTCCGAGAGATGCAGTAAGTGAATCTCGCATCTGCTGGCCATGGCTCGAAATTCGGAGCTCGGGGGGGTCAGGGTCCACGACTTCCCCTCCTGAGCCCCGGAGCGAGGCGACGCGAGCTCAAACGTTCGGAGGCTCGCGCGGCCTTCGTGGGTCGGCGCCGGGCCTCCCTGCCAATCCAGGGGGCGGCGCTGGAGGCGCCGCCGCGGGGGCCCGCCGCAGACCGCGCAAATCCGCGCGGGCCTCCGAGAGCTCATGGCCGTGCAGTGCGTGCCCCTCGGCCCAGAGGCCAGAACCTCGCCATCGCTCGGACGTCCAGTCCCCGTGCACTGTTCGGTTTCGCGCGTGCATCTTTCGCAGGATGGCCTGACAGTGATCCTCGGTGGTCCTCGCCGAGACAGAACGCACACGTCCGAGCGATGCCAAGGAGGACACCCCCCAACTCGGCTGGATCTCGGCCTTCCTGGCAGCTCTCCGAACCCTCTGGAGGCCCCCGCCTGCCAGGTCGGCTCGCGGCCGCGGGCGCCATGGCTCCTCGGAGTGGGCAGCGGACCTCGGTTCTGACCCCGCTTTGCGACGCTTACGGCGGCTGCCGCGGCCATGCCTCACAACGGCGCCCGCCGCGGGAGCTGCCGATGCCGAGGGGGCAACGTCAGGGAGGGGGCCAGCTCAGGGGCGAGGCGTCGACCTGGAATCGGCGACGCATCGCCGACAAATCTGCCCACGATAGCGACACCGCTAGTTCCTGGGCGGGGTAGGCTATCAGGCCCCCAGCAGCAATCAAGGGGCGGTGGGGGATCGATGCATGGCACCTGAGCCTATCCCCCCCTAACGTTGCCCCTGAGCCGTGGGGCTGGTGAGGCCGCTGCCGTCCAGGGCGGACCGAAACATCCGAGCCAAACGTGGCTCGGGATGGGGTAGGAGGAGCATCAGACGCAGAGGATGCACGTAAGATAATAACTCGTGCTATAAGAAATCTACGGGCGCATTCACCGCCCATCTTCAAAATTCCCGAGGTACCCCAAGACTTCTGTGGGTCCACGGGGGTACTGGGGAAGCGTGGGCCCCAAACCGTCGTTATTGCATGGTGAATTTGATAGCTATGAAGCGTGAGCTATGTGATGAACGCTATGTCGTGTTAACTATGCGGTGTGAGATACGGGGGTGACCATGCGGCGCAAGCTATGTGGTGCAAGCTACGTCGTGTAAGCTGTGCGGTGTGAGCTGCAGGTGGGAGCTATGTGGTGCAAGCAATGTATGCAAACTGCGTTGCGCAAGCTGTGCGGTGTGAGCCCTGTGGTGTGAGCTGTGGTGAAAGCTATGTCGTGTAAGCTCAGAGCACGGGGCGCCCACGAGGCGCCCACGAGGCGGCACGGGCGGCATACCCCCTAAGCGAGTGTCGCCCTCGAGGCGGTGCGGGCAACAGCGTTGAGAACACCCGACGTACCCCCCAGAGCGCGGGGCGCCCACGGGGTGCCCCAAAGGCAGCACGGGCCGTCACCAAGCGCGGGGCGCTCACGAGGCGCCCACGAGGCGGCACGGGCGGCAACGTGTCGAAGGCCCAACAGACCCAATCAAATACTTGGGGTTAAGACACATAATAGGGGGAACAAAAAACCCGAGTGCAAACCCTGGTTGGGGAATCAGGGTCTCCCGCAGGGTACCTGCAGACGGGCGGAGTGATTGTCTGGCGTGCCCGTTTTCTAAGACTACGAGGGGCAGCAGGGGGAGGATCGCTGAAGGGGCGAGTGGCGTCGCTGGGGCGGTCGGTGCCTGAAATCAGAATCCTGCCATGGGGCGCATATCTCAGATGTGCGCGATGGCTCGCGCTGGGCTTGAGGTTCGATGCCGACATCGGAGCGCGCGCGACGGGCAGTACAGGTACTCGGCGCTCGCCCCACACGTGCAAGGGGGCGCTGGTTTCCGTGCTGGGCGATGCTCTGCCCTGACAGAAAAGTCGGCCCCAGTGGCGACCACCTCACCCTTCGCTCCCAGAGCAACCCCTCATCTCTCTCCGCCTTGGCGGGCTGTGGGCATTGCAGAGCGCAGCCCCGCATTCCAACACAACCTCGACATTTCGGCGATCGCCCTCAGCCGAGAGGTGTCAGAAAAGTATGAAAAGACGAACGACACACAACTGAGTCAGAATACATCTCTTCAGACCTGCTTGAACTTGACCACTGGCTCAGCGGACTCAGCGCTGGGGCCTGAAGCGTTTCGGTGAGCGTGTCACCCCTCTCTTGTGTTCAGCGCAAAGTCCTGACGTGCTCTGACTCCGACAGGGGTGACCGCATCTCAGACGAGGAGCTCGGCGGAGCCATAGTGGGGCGCTGCGAACACGATGCCGCCGTGGGCACTGATGCCAGCCATCCGCGGAATAGAAAGGATGCGAAATTGACACATCGAAGCTCGCCATACGCCAGAAACCAATGAGGATAATGGACACCTGCTACTTGCCTTTGCCAAGAGCTTGATGGGAGGGAATGGTGACGAAGAACGCACATGAAGCATCGGGAGGGGGCTGACGGAAACGAGCAACACAAAGTGGTGGACCTGACCATCCAGCGGATCCAATCGATCTTGCTCTGCAGTTCACAGCCCCGTCCCGCTTGGGGTGGACGACAAAGAGAATCCATTGGTCAAACAGGGGCCAACGAACCGGCTGCAGGACGGCGAGTGATCCAGCGGGAGCCTTCGCAACTTCCGCACCCCCCCCATTCCCAACCCGTCCTGCTCGGCATTCCCCCTCCCCCCCACACCCCGCTCGGTTCGATTCTGTACCGCGGGGCCAGCGGCGGTGCCGCGTGCGAGAATCCTCGCTCGGGCCACGCTGCTGCACCAACCGAAAGGTGACGCAACCGCCCGCCGCTGCCAGTGGTCGGGCTGTGGAGGAGGAGGAGGAGGAGGAGGAGGAGGAAGAGAAAGAGGAAGAGGATAATAATGAAGCAGGAGGAAGCATTTCGTGACGGGGACAAACATGTTACATAGAACCAAGGTGCTGCCACAAGGGTCATTGGATAAAGAACGAAGGCCCCTCCTGGGGCCTTCGCTGCGCTTTGGTGCACAAGGAGTGGCACGGAGAGGATCATAAACGGACCGAAGGAACATCCAGTCCTTTGCAAAACCCGTGGACAGTTGCTCCAAAGGCTTTCGCCGCACAGCATGGCGTTGGAGCAGTACTCGCTGCAATCTTGGCGGAGGCCACGCGCGGCACGTGCATCCAGTCGCAGGTTGCCCCCCTGCCAAGCACACGTCGGCCGCCGAAGGCGCAAGGCTGGGACCAGCCTGTGCCAGACGGGGGCTTGTGATGATGATGGTGATGCCGATGGTGACGGTGATGCTGATGAAGCCGATGACGGTGACAATGATGATGGTGATGCTGATGATGGTGATGATGACGATGGTGATGGTGAGGACGATGAAGATGACGACGACGGTGATGGTTGTGATGATGCTGGTGTTGAAGATGCTCATGATGACGACGACGAAGAAAGCGATGCTGATGACGATTACGCTGGCGACGACGACGACGACGACGACGACGGCAGCGGCGGCAGCGGCACCGGCGACGGCAGAGGCGGCGCCAGCGGCAGCGGTGACGGCGAAGACGACGACGGTAATGGTGGTGATGACGACGATGATGAGAGGCGGCGCCGGCGGCAGCAGTGACGGCGAAGACGACGACGGTGATGGTGGTGATGACGACGATGATGACGCGGGCTTCAGTGAGCGCTCGAGTTCGTGCTACAGGGGGACGCGATCTGCAACTCAGTGGCAGCGAACAGACGAGAGCTGGACGGCAGAAAAGAGACTAGACAGCGGCGGAGGCGTAGGAGCTGGCGTGCATGCCTGTGGCGAAGGAACGGGGCAGGGCTATGCGATTCAAAGGCGGGCATTTGGTGATATACTGAGCGAGCGAGCTCAACACTGATGGCAATGCTTCTGAACTCCTCAGGAAACCCCATTCAAAGAGATGGGGCCCGACACGCTTATGGGGTTGGCCATAGAAGAAAGACACAGGCATGCACGGCATGAGGCGAGACATAACATTGAAAAAGAGAGGTAGAGAACAACACAACGAGGGATGACATCACATGAACTGGCCTGGCACCCAAAATGGCATTTTTCCAGAGGTGGTCGATTCCGAGCAGTCGTGACCCAACCATTGCACATCGTTCTTCAATATGCTAGCGAAGACGAAGCATGGTAACTGAACGGCTATCATCTGCAGAGGAATGAGCGAAATATCGCTGCACCATTACCATCCATCGTGCGGTCTTTCATCCATTGCACCAATATCGACAAAAAACAATCAGAAACATAGCCCTACCAATATACAAATATGTACCAGTACTGTCTTCAGGCGCGCGAGGAATACAATTCTACTTGCGCCAGCTCAGTTGTCATGGGGCTGATAGAACACACGTTTGATAAATCCGCCCATTCGGCGTGTGAGTTTGTGAGAACGGGGGGGCGAATTCCAACGGAATTCAGTGAATGCACAAGCCCCCGCCTCCCACACACACCCACTTACCTTTCTCCGAAAGGAATATTCTTCTCTGACCCCCCCCTCCGACAACGCCTCCCCCCCCAAAAAAAACCTTCCTACATATCCCTTTCCGTTCTTCCGTTTTCTCTCCTACAGACCCCCCCCTCCAGGACAGACCCCCCGCCCCCTCTTCCGACGTATCCCTTTCCGCCCTTCCGCTTTCTCTCCTACAACCCCCCCGCTCTCACAGACCCCCCCCTCCGACAGACCCCCCCCTCCAGGACACACCTCATCTCTCCGAGAAATCTTTGTTTTTTTCCGACAGCGCCTCTCTCCTCGCCATTCACTCCCCCGGGAGGGAAGAGGGGGGGGGGAGGGGGCTGACGCCATTCATGCCCGGGAAGGAGGAGCGGGGGGGGGGGGGGGCCTGACGCCATTCGGGCCCGGGGGGGAGGACGGGGTGGGAGGCTTCGATCTGTCTGTCGGGGCGGGGGGGAGGGTCTGACCCCATTCAGGCCAGGGAAGGAAAAGGGGGGGGGGAAGGGCTGACGCCATTCACTCCCCGGGAGGGAGGAAGGGGGACTTGAAAGGGGGGGGGGGGCTGACGCCATTCAGGCCCGGGAGGGAAGGGGGGGGGGGCTGACGCCATTCAGGCCCGGGAGGGAGGACGGGGGGGGGGTCGCTCTGTCGGGGGGGGGGGGGCTGACGCCATTCAGGCTCGGGAGGGGGGGGAGGAGGGATGCAGCCTTTCAGGCCCCCGGGAGGAGTGACGGTGGTGGTGGAGGGGGGGGGGCTTTGCTTTGTCGGGGGGGTGACGCCATTCAGGCCGGGAGGGGGGGGGGGGCTCGCGCCATTCAGGCCCGGGAGGAAGGAGGGGGGGGGGAGGGGGGGGGAACGCCGTGGGCAGGAGAAGGGGGGGGGGGAACCCAATAGGTGACGCCACTCAGGCCTGGGAGGAGGACGTCGGGGGGGGGGGGGGAGCTGACGTCATTGCTGACGCCATTCAGGCCCGGGAAGGGGATCTGGAAGGGGGGAGGAAAGGAGCCCTGACGCCATGGCTGACGCCATTCAGGCCCGGGAAGGAGAAATCGGGGGGAGCGGGGGCCGACGCCGTGGTTGACGCCACTCAGGCCTAGAAGGCGGGAGGGGACATCCCATGAGTTTGGCTGTTCACGCGAGATCGTCACTTTCGAATATCCGACGTTTGCCCAAGCGAATCCTCCGCTGCAAGCAGAACCGGTAGCACCCCGGATCGGCGGCACTGGCCGGATGCCACTACAAAATCGGGTTCTGCTCGTAGGTCAAAGACCACCCTGCACCGTCAAGAATACTAAACGATCCACCCATGAGCGTCTGGAGTATACTCGAACGCCGTACCAAGCGGTATTGGGCAGCGACAGCATACTTCACGACGCCC